ACTACCCTTCAAATTAGATTAGAATCGTTTTTTTTTCCATCACCGGATACAACCGTTTCATTTCTTCTCTCTAGTCTCCAACCGACGAAATTACTAGACCGCAACCTTATTAGAGAACGTATCGTTCATCGTGTTATGCAACTCACATCTACTTAACCAAATTATTTTAAATCATGTCAGTTGGCAGTACTTTATTGGCCAATTTATTCCAACTTAAACGGAGAAAGATATCGACCGAATTATTACTACAAACTTGAACAAAATCAATCACCACTTTATTGTTTTGTGTGATTTAACACTAAGATAAACAAGAAATGTTCTTTATTAAATTCCTCCAAACTGGATTTCCATTTCCCAATCTCGTATTTCATCAGAGAAAATCACATAAATTAACACTCGATTACTTACTCAACAGGAAAAAGAAATAACTGATCTCATTGACAAATGTTGTCCTGGTTACGTCCAAAATGGCGACTTTTGTACGCCATCTTGTCCCAACTGTCAAAATGGACGATGTGACAATGGACGATGTAGGTGTTTTCCCGGGTTTAAGGGCGAAACGTGCACCACAAGTAAGAATTTTCCGATTTGTGAAAAACAAATTTAAGTTTGGTTTCAGGGTGTTTGAGAACAGAGTGGGGGGAGGATTGCAAATTCAACTGTTTGTGCGATCACGGGTTCTGCGAACCGACCAATGGGGTGTGTGTATGCGACTCGGGGTGGAGCGGCAGCAGGTCAATATCAAAATCAATATCAAAGTTGAATATCATTATCAAATTACAAAAAAAGACAATAATCCAGGTTCAATACCAATATTCAACATCAACACTATTTTATTACTCAAAATCTGTGATTATTATTCAACATCAAGCAATGTAACATTTTTTGTAAAAATAAGTTCCAATATCAACATCACTTTTAGTGCAAATATTAAACTTCAACATCAAAATTATGATTATTTATTATTTAATACCATCATTTTAACATCACATCCGAGTCTTATAAATCAACATCAGCGTCAAAATTAATTCTAAAAACGTTGAGGCTATATCAACATCATTTGTTGATAAGTTGATGTTGATTAAGTACTTTAAGTTGTTATGCAACACTGAAGTACTTATAGCTGAATGCGAGTAACTATAATTTAACATCAACATCAAAATAAGTTACGTATAAATTCTCAAAAACGTAATGCTGATATAATATATCAAGATAATTTTTTATTGATGCGTAGGCATAAGTCAACATCAACATCATCAGTTCAGTTATTGATTTAAGCAACATCGGTGTTTGTTGATATGTAAACGTAAATCAACATCAACTTTTTTGTTCTAATCAACTTCACTTTTTGTAGATAATAAAAAATATCAATACTTTTAATTGAAATGTGAGTATTATCATTAACATCAATATCAAAAACTTGATTTACTACATCAACATCGTTTTCTTATTGTTAGTCAACTTAAACATCGCTTTTTGTTGATTTAATCAACGTCTAAGTTCTCCACTGTCGTTGATAAGCAACATCAACATCGTATTTTGTTGATATCTGATGCAAGTGTCAACATCAACATCATTTTTTCTTGATATTTAGGTGTCAAACCCTTTGCCCTCTCGGCTTCTACGGCCCCAACTGCCACGAACAATGCACGTGCAACCCCGACGAGTCATGTGACCCCATAACCGGCCAATGCCATCAACCTTCAACCACATCAACCCCCACAACGATATTCATCAACACAATTCAACTAAAAAATAATGGAAAATTTGAAACTGACCAAAACGGCCTACTTTCAACAACAATATTGACAACAAATATCGTCGATAATATCATGTCGGCGCATGTAGAAGGAGACACAAATCGACGATTTGTATTGACAACTGTCATACCGAAATTGTCAAATGACGACATTTTAAACGAAGAGGAAGTTAGGGATGATTTTGTCAATAGTGCCAGTGCTGCCACTGCTATTTCAATAGGGGTGATTGTAGTGGCAGCAGTGATTGTCGCAGTGAATCATTTTAGAGGAAAAAAAGGGAAAAATAATGGAAAAGTGGAAAAAGGGGTGGTGGCTGTATACACACACAGCATTTTTCACACACCACTACCAGGTAAGTGCTAGTTATGCAACCAATTATACACCATTTTTATAATTTCATAAAAAAAGTGCCAAATTTGTTATATTTTTAACAATGTAATAAAATCAAGACTACAAATTAAATTTTTGAATATATAAATTGTAAAGTATCAACGATTTATCATAAAAAAATCAATTGTGTTTCAAAGTGTCGGTTAATTCCTTTGTATGTAGCTGACAACATTAACTGACTCCGTGGCGCAACGGTAGCGCGTCTGACTCCAGATCAGAAGGTTGCGTGTTCAAATCACGTCGGGGTCAAACTTTTTTTTTCTTTGAATTTCATTTTTTAAATTATTTACAGAGCCACCTACGTTTGAGAACCCAATTTTCACCACCCCCGAGTCTAACCCTGAAGCTCATTTCGAGACCCATGTTGTGTGCAGTATGAACTTTCCCACTCACCCCCCAAAAGGTAAAAATCCCAAATAAGTGGTTAATTAATTAAAACTTTATTATTAGGGGATCCCAGAGAGTATTTATACGACCACCCCCCCTCCACTGGCAGTTACCGGGCAGCTTCAATCCCCGAACCCCCAAATAGTGACCCCCCGAATCCCATTTTTGAGCCTGTTTACGACGAAATTCCCTCAGGAATGCTCCCAACCCCCGTTTCGGAGCCACCCTCGTACAAGTCGACGTCTTTGTATATGAATACGTGTGGAAAAACACGGTTTTAATTGTGTTCCTTTTGTTTTAATTATAATTAATTAATTTAAGTTTTCACGTGCCATTATTTTTTTATGTGAGGTATCTGTAGCCCTGTATCTAAGAAATTATTAAATAAAGTTGAAAAAATAATACAAGTTTTTTTGTTTATTAAATAATTGATAACATTTTTGGTGTTTGCATCAACCTTGAATTTGAAGCAAAATTGATAAAAATTCTTCCGCAAAGTTGGCTTATCTTCAAATTAATTTGTCGGTTCCGTTGATTATTTTTTTAGAGACAATAACAAAAATATGTAATAAAAAAGAAAAAAATTGCTAATCAATAAACAAAAATAAAAAAAACTTAGGACAACCTTAAAAAAAAACAGTAAAACAGTAAGAAAAGTAAAGACACCAAAATCAAAAACTTCATTTCATGTAATAAAAATATTTTTATATTTTTCTGTTGTAAAACTATAA